GCCTTTAAGGATAAGAAGAGTAAAGTTAATGTTGGCATACTGGGTAAACCTTCAGGGGCACAGTGATAGTCATCCAGCGAAAAGTATTTTGAAAGACTGCTGGGAGCACAATGAGTCACATTTTAACGAGTTTCGGATGGATTTGGTGATGTTTAAAGCGGCAAGTATAGGATTGAATCAAATACAGTATTGCCCTACAGTTGCAATCTCGTCATTCCACCCTGGATATTCCCAATGCCAAGTGTGGACCTCAATATACAAAAAGAGTTGAAGGAAAAGAAAGAAATACCAGTATGGCGCATAGTCCAGAATTATTTTGCAAGATATCACTCAGACTCAACAATCATATTTACAGATGGCTCCAAAGATCCAGAGACAGGGCGTGCTGGGGCAGCAGTTTATATCCCAGTGAGTAATTCACATATAAAGAAAAGGGTAACAGACCATGTGTCAGTATACACCACAGAGTTGTTGTTGGCATTGGTATTGGCATTGGAATGGATAGAGGAGAAAGGAATACATAATACTGTAATTGCATCTGACAGCTATTCAGCTTTATCGAGTACACGATCAGGCAGATCTTCATTTAGAATGTACATAATAAATGAAATATTTCTAATTTTGTATAAAATGCAAATCAAAGGCATAGCAACTTGTTTCATCTGGGTTCCTGCTCATGTTGGTGTGGAGGGTAATGAACAGGTGGATATTCTGGCCAAACAAACACTCAGAATTACGAATATAGACATTGAAGTTCCGCTCAGCAAAGCGGAGGTTAAAACATTCATACATAAATATGCACAAACAACATGGCAAGAACATTGGGACCTTAGTGATACAGGAAGACATCTTTATAACATTCAAAGGTATGTGGGTGATGGAAGGAAGGTGGGGTTTAAAAGAAGGGAGGAAAATGTCATTTCTCGGATGAGAATAGGTCACACGTCTCAATCATACATTAAGGGTAATAGGAAAGCATCCAACCGGAAAGTGTACACACTGTAGCCAGCCAGAAACGGTTGAACATGTTTTGCTGCATTGCAGGAAATATAGTATTCAGAGAAATGTGCTTTTCCAAACACTGAAGAAAGCAAAATACACTGACTTTTCGCTATCAGGGCTGTTAGGGAAAACATCAGGCAATATGTATTGTGAGCTTATTACGTTTCTTAGAGAAATTGATAAATTTAAAATAATCTAGAGTTTTGGTTTTATTTATTTATTTATTTATTTTTTTAAATTTTGTTTATTGTTTTCTGCATAGTCTCTTGTCCATACTCCAGTCCAGTTGGTGGCGGTAATGCACCTAAAAGTTGGTTTGCCAACCGCCAATAAACACTAAAGAAGAAGAAGAAGAATAGCTGAGAGAAGAAGAAGAAGAAGAACTTATTCGACGGACACGCTCCACTTTACGTGCGCGCTTCCGTGAATCTATAACAAAGATGGCGGCCGCCTTATCAGGTAAACTGACTTCTCCGACAGTTCAGTTACTATTTTTCATCTATTTTGTTTACGAGGTACAATCCACAGCATAATATATAAGTTAATAGTTTCGTTTTTCCCAAAAAGAGTCCAGCTGCAGTGCAGGTTTACTGCGACAGGACTCTGTCTGAGATAAAACGCTGTCTCTGACGATGCTAGCTAGCTCATTAGCTAGCTGCGCTATCCAACAGTCCATGATCCACACGGCTTCTGCAGCCAACTACATTTACAATTATGAAACTAGCAAGCAGAGAAAAGGCTACATGTGGGTTCAGTGCACTCCACAGATCACATTAGACTGGGCTGCAGTGTGTTAACGTCACTCTGTTCGCTGGGCGGTGCCCGGGACTAGCTTGATGGGTAAATAACTTAGCTTTCCGGAAGAAGTGCTCAGAATAAATAGTTCGTCGCTAAAACTGACCCACAAGCAGAGTGTTAAGGATTTACTCAGGTTCTGTATTTGAGTACAATTTTGAGGTTCTTGTGCTTTACTTGAGTATTTCCATTTTATGTTACTTTGTTCTTTCAATCCAATCCAATTCAGAGGTTAATGGTGTACTTTTACTCCACTAAATGTATTTAATACCTTTAGTTACTTTACAGATGTGGATTAATGATGTGAAATCGAATCAAGTGTTAAATCAGACTTTAGTTCCACCTGGAGTAAATTCACAAGCTACCCTGGAGTATACAAAGTAATTCAAACTAGCTGCACCTTTAACAGCTTTGAGAACACTTTAATGTTCAATCATTATAATCAGAGAGTATTCATCCTACGCTCTAGTATTTCTACTTTACTTAAGCACAAGATATGAGTGTTTCTAACATCTCTGCCCACAAGGTAATTTACTTAACTATTTGTTTGACATCATACTCTTACAGCTTGTGTAATGTCAACAGTTGTACGAGTAAGCGGTATGTTTCTACATTTAAAGGTTTAGGAGGCAATTCCTTAAACACTAAGTTTTAATGTTTGCCACCTCAAAGCCAATGCCTCCTAATGCCAGCACTGGAAAGTAACTAACTACATTTACTCAAGTATTAGAGTTTTTTGATATATTTGTACTGCACTACATTTCAGAGGCCAATATCCTACTTTTTACTCCATTAGATGTATTTAACACACAGCTTCTTTTTACTTTGTACATATAAAAACACATGCGATGCTGATATGGTACAATGCAGTAATGTACTACTAATCTACACAGTATTTCAAGTATCTTCATTTGGTCCACATTGACCAACCACTACTCTAATATTATTTGATATTTATAAGGACAGGATAACATAATAATAAAATACTGTGAAAAGAGCCATTCTGCATAATGACTACTTTTACTTTTGATACTTGAAGTACATTTAGCAGGTAATACTTCTGTACTTACTATTATTCTGAAATGGGTCATTGTGCAGAATGAGTACTTTTACTTAAGAGTAATTATGAAATCAAATATTTACTTGTAGTAGAGTACTTAAAGACTAAAGTATTTGCGCTTTTAGTTCAGAAATGGATCTAAGTACTTCTTCCAACACTGCCTAATGGTAAGTTGGACAAACTATAACAAATTGCGTCAGTCTGAGGATAACTCTGCTGCATAAAAATAAGGCTCATTATACAGCCATTTGAAACACTAAAACACACAATCTAAGAAATATAACCTAGTAGTATTCATTATTATAGACCTAGATCAGAATAGATACTGTCAATTAGGGCTGTACCCGAAGTTGGATTACTATTCGGGTTTCAATTTCGTTTTTTGAATTTATTGAAAACTCCAATATCAACGTAAGAGCTTGTGCCTCTTCGGCGGGTGCTAACACTTAACCATACACTTTATCATTTACTTTCTTCGTATGTAGATATTACTTTTTCTCCGTTGATCTCCGTCACGTTGTTTCCATAGCAACAACAACTTCCTGTCAACAGCACTAACTCTCCTTCAAAATAAAAGCATGTCCATAAAAAATAGGAAGCCAAGCCAAATTACACTTAAAATATATACAACTGCAACGAAAGTAACACACACAATGCAATATCCTTTTCAATTTCAAAGAACACAAATTGGGTTGTATAGATTAACAAATAACTATAAAACAACAATACTGTAGAATAACAAAATGAATGCCGTGAATAAACCGAAATACACGTGTTGAAGCGGTTCCTGCTGATTACTACCGAATATCCGGAGCCCGAAAAATGGTATTCGGGACAGCCCTACTGTCAATTCAGACTTCCTTTTAGTGGATGCCTCCCCCAAGTCAACTTTTGGAATAGGATTTTTCAATCGTTTACTACCTCTTTTTTCAGCTGTCAGATCTGCCAACATGGATCACACACTTCTTTCAACTTCCCGGCTCTTGCAATTTAGCAGAAAACTAATTTTGTCTGTTTGAGAGTGAAACATATTAAGACTCTGATAATTTAGCTTTAAATCAGGTCTGTTAGGCGAAATTATCGAGTATGGTATGACGTTTCTGCGTGAATTTTTCTCCCATTGTGTTAATAGAGAGAAGTCATTAAATGTTCCTTTTTTGTGCCCTTGTGTGTGTGTGCATGCTTGTGTTTTGGAAGGCATCGTAGTTCCCCGCAGCTTTCGTCTGCTGGAGGAACTGGAGGAAGGTCAGAAGGGAGGTGGAGACGGTACGGTGAGCTGGGGCCTCGCAGATGATGACGACATGACACTAACTCATTGGAACGGCATGATCATCGGCCCGGCCAAGGTGACCCCCCCCCTGAGTTTACAGCACCAATACATTACTCTGCTCTTCTATTCAATGGCCAATGGACTTTAAGCATTGCATTCGTATAAAACAGTGTTAAAGAAATGTCATTGTAGGAAGGAAATTCACCATCTAACAGCTAACGATCAAACATCTGAGGATTTGAGGACGAGCTTTACTTGACCTTTTTATGGTATTTTTCTGCGTATGCAAAATATGCAATCATTATCAGGAATACCTAACACTTAGCAGCTGCTCTAACACATTGGTTTATTAGATTTTTTTTAAACTACAGTGAAGTGGTAGTTTACAACAAGAGTAAACCGGTGTCATTGAAAGGGAGTGTTATGACACTCTGGCCAGTACACAGTCATGTGATTCATGTCCGCTCTATAGTTCCAACTATTATCAAATAGTGCATTGATTACCATGCAGACTTCACTTATACTCTCAATATAATATATCATTTTAGACAGTGGTCCGTTACATTTACAGTAGCTATTGTTTCTATTAATATTTTTCTTGTGCTTTTATGATCATCATGTCCCACATCCCAATTTTAAGACCTAAACAGATAAACAACACAAAATGAATCGACAACCACAAGAAGTGAAAATAACTGAAGTTTATTGTTAAGAAACAATCTTCTAGGGCATTCATTTGAAGTAATTGTAGTTTAACTAACACTACATTATATATTTTTAACAGTGTTGCTAGCATTAGCTAACTATTTTTATAATCATACTAATATTGCGCGTTATCATATTGTATAGGTTATAACTAATGCTGGCTAAAAGTAGTCAGCTGTTGTGTTAAAATATCCAAAAGTGCATAATTTCATTACCTCCCCAGCGAGTGTGCTGTGAAACACTGTAAAAGGAATGATGTACTGTTTAGAGCTTGAACTATCATGTGATTAAAACAACACACATCACTTTTGGCTTCCCATTACTACAGAAGTTGATTCTTTCGTAAAAGGCGCTGTGATAAACCTCATTTTTATAAGTTCTGTTGTTGCTCTCATAGGGATCATGTGCAGGTATATCAGCTGTGTGCAAACTGACCATAAGAGGGCTGCATGTAATTCAAATGAAACATGTCCCCTCTGCCTGCTGTAGGATAGTTACATAAGGCGTGTTCACACCGCAGTACTTTTCCCATTTTAGTTCCGATATAGTTCCGAAATGTTGCGTTCACACCAAAAAGAGCCCAAACTAAAATGTGTTAATGAGAACCTTTTTACCCCCTTTTCCGTCCCTGCTAGAGAGCAGGGACTTTCATGCGGCTCTCTTGTGAGAAAAGAGCTATATTTCTGATTGCCTAGGCGGATTGCAAACCACGCCCCGTAAAACTAAAAAAAAGTTTTGTGAAGCCACCATTTTATTAT